TATCCCTCGCCAGATCACCGGTTCTCTTTCTCACTCGCAGGCAGTAAGTGGTATTGCACCTGTGACGCTGGCAACGATTGACGATTTGTGAGAGCCGCAGGAATGTCATTTCTGTGTTCAGTGGATCTACGCTTAGGGGGTTACCCTCACCCTCAGGCATAGTCCTACTCGGCTCGGGGTTAATGGCAGTGATGTGGAATCCCCACGTGCGTGCAAATACATCACGGGCGGCTTCATCACCCAAGTCGACTCCGGGGCAATTCTCCATCCAGTACAGGCCATGGTTGTGCGGACTGCCGCGCCCTTGCCATTCATACCGATCCCAGTAATCCGTAATGTTGAACTTCTTGCTTAACACTATATCTCGGAAGAAGCAGTATCGTCGGTAGAAGTGGAAAGCGGCAATGTGAGGATTCTGACGCAAAAGTTGGCGTGAGAGACCCATCCTCTCCAACTCGGACGCAGCCAGCCACTCATCGTATCGGGGCATGTGTTGGTAGAGACTTCTCCAGTGTAAATCTGCCGGGCTGAATGTGATGAATGCACCAGGACATCCAAGGTTGTAGGCATAGGCCTCGAGGTCCTGCCTCTTCTTGTTCCAGAAGGACGCGTGCCGCGAATAGATACCGCATGTCTTGTAATTGAGTTGATCAGTGCCTGTGCCTCAGGGTCCTCGCTGTGCTCCAGTGCCTGAATAAGCTGCTCCCGTGTGAGAGGTTCATGACTACCACCTTTTTGCTTCACGAAGAATTTGGACCGTGCACGGGCTTGTGACCGCATCAGAGTATTGAAGGCGACGAAACGGAAGGTAGGGTGGCGTGCAAAACGCCCGTCATGCCAACGCATAGCATGCTCGACTATTGAAGGTGACGAAACGGAAGGTAGGGTGGCGTTCAAAACGCCCGTCATGCCACCGCACTGCATGCTCGATGTAGTCCTTGTAATCAATTGAGCGCAATCGCGGCTCAACAAAGTCGGCTCTACCGTCAGGAAAGAGGCATGGGAATGCTAAAGAGAGTAGAGCTTGAGAGCGATTAAACTCGTTGATGGGTGTGCGCCGTATATTCGGAAGCTGCAACTGGCGCTGCGTCTGCGCCTGGATGGTTGTGGCAGGTCCTGGGTCAGTTTCTGATTCTCCGGCGAGAATGGACTGCAGAGCATCAAGCTCCGTGTCCTTAGCCAAGAGATCCGGCACCGCAGCCTCGTCCACAAGGTCTGGTTCTGCCTCCTGATCATCCTCAGGTCCAACATCGGCAGCTTCCACCTGGCTCTGGGGGATTGCATCCAGGACGTTGCCATCGTCAGGCAATTGATTCAGCCGCTCTTCGTTGATGACCATACATCGGTAGCCAGGATGATGGCGCCGGCGGTAGTTGAGCCATATGGCAACTGGTTGGCGGCGTACACGAAACTGGCGAGTGAACTGCCGGCTAAGATTTGCATGGGATGATGTATTGGCAGGACGGAGTAATACAGTGTTCAACTCCTGCGGTAAGAGTGGGAGTTGGTTGTACACCAAGCCGACCTCGCGGAGAAAGTGAACAACATGGCCCCGATATTTGTACTGCTGTCCCCGCACAAGCATAATATTCACGTGGACGTGAACACGGGCGATTAAAGACTCTTCAGTGGGTGTAAGCTGGGGCAATTGATTCGGAACGGAGCCAAAATCCAACTGGTTGTCCACAGAGAAGAAATACGGCTCTCCGGGCCCGCGTTTATCATCCTTCCAACAGCAACGCGCGCAAAGGCCATCAGAATCGATCTTCATCTGAAACCAACGCTCTTGACACCGACCACAAAATTGCATTTGGTCATTGTCCAGCTTTGTCCAGAACTCACGGAGGATTGCTTTATCACGACAAGTCAAGGCGCAAGCGTCGAGGTCACCATTCCACACCGGATCTTGTGCGTGCAACACCGCCGATTCTTCAGGCGGAATCACCACTGGACTCCGGTACCGTCGCGGCGGCTTCGATGATCGCGCTTGCCTTCGAGATTGTCTTGGCCGCCCTCCTGCACCAGGGGCAGGGCCACGGCGACCACGCCTTGGCTGTGTGGAATGCTGCCGCTGCAAGTGATGGCGAAGAGAGCTTTCCTCCATGGAACCATCATCGTCGTTGTTGTCTTCGTCCCCTGGATCGGAATCACACTCTACCCCTAATTGCTCAAGGTACCTTCGTGGTCGAACAGGCGAAAGTAGTAAGTTGAAATAGTCCTCGGCATCAACATCGGACTCGGAGAACTGTCCATCGTCGTGCCCTTCCTTGCTTATCTCGCTCTGCTCTGGAAACACACTCGGCTGTAGTTGACCATGATTCCCAGCTAAATGCCATGGTCAGCCTGAACAAACTACCGGGGCCACGGCACCTGGATACCTTCTCCAAGCCCATCAAGAGCTTCAAAAACGCCAAGTTGAGATATTGAGGGAGTCAGTGACACAGTCTCCCCTGCACGGCGCCGTGACCGATGGTCGCGCTGGATAGCGGCCATTTTGGCTCTTGCCCTGGCCCTGGAGGAACCATCTTGTGAGTCCTTCCCGCCTTTGTGGAACCTAGCAGCCAAGAAAGAGTAATCCACACGAGTTGTGCTGCTTCGGACAGCAGAGGCGTCGGGATGCGAGGCGATTGAATTGGCCGTTGGCTGCACCGGAGGTGAGGGAGCCAGTGCCCGGAGGAGCCACGAGCTCTGTTGAGTTCGTGGAATTGGCGTCCCAAGCACTATCTGGGGCTGGGCGGACTGGTTAATTGACTCTCCGGATAACTTCCTGGCTGTAGGAGTTTGCTGTAGCCTCTCTGGGGATGTGGGCCGGGTGCCAGACCTCTCCGTACTGGGCGATAAGCCAGCTTCTCTGTCAGTTCTCTTCGGGGCAGGTCTCTCACTACGGACGGCGAGGCTCCTCAATGTTTGGATCGCGCCCCTGGACCTGGAGTACTTCAATTGGCTAGTATTGAACACCCTGCGGAGTGAGATCTGAAACTAACATGGGAGTCGTTCTTATTACGACAGTCGAGGCAGTTCTTCGTCTTCTCAGCAGACTTCCTTTTGCTGACGAAGTCACCCGCCGGTCTCTCCTTGCCACAGCGGGCACAGACAATGGAAATCATGTCCATGTCCATTATCAGCTCCCAGGCTTACGATCCATTACCCAACGGAAAGGGGACACGTAGAAGCTGTGAAGTGGATAAATTGGTGACGATCAACTCGGTGTGATGATGTAAACACGCGATGCATTCTGAGTAAACAAAAAGCGAACATGCTGCCAGCCGTACCAGGCAATTGTCGACAGCTGGCGTAGCGCTGGGGTCCATTTTTCTGGAGCCGTCAGCCAATTGCCGAACGATCTGCGGCTGGCAATACAAAATGTGGACCAATTAGAATCCGAGAAACTTATTGCACCAAACCCTCATATTGGGAAAACTTATGGAATAACAGGGGAGGCAACCCCACGCGGGTTGCG